GCGTCGGTGTCTTGAATTTAAATTGAACGCATCACGTACACGCGATTGCTCGTGCATACCTATCTACCTTCTGGCATGAGAACTGTGCATCGCGTGCAGGGACTCTCGATACATGCGCACCCTCGTTGTCGTTGTCGTCTCCGCAGCAGAGGGTGCAACCCGCGCTGGCTGGCGTATTTTCCCCCGATTTTTTTTTCTTTTTAAGCAGCTCACTGTGCCGCTCGTCGACAGTGCACAGCGCGATCGATGATGGTTTTCGCCTGTGACTTTCCCCCTCGTCTCGTTTTGGTCCACGCATTTTGTCACAATGTATGGAGACTGCGGATTACGTTTGCGCGATATTCGGCGGAAGCGGGTGTATCAGTTTGTGCACGACGCTGATAAGAAAAATGAGTGATCTATGTTGGGGGAGTATACGGTAACTCTTGCGAAACGATTCACGAGATTTCGTTTCAGTGCCAATGGTCTAAAACGGAGTCATTTACGAATATTGAGCAGTGTAAATGCTTAATGGGACATGCAAAATGATGATGGATGAGCATGTTTCACATAAAAGAAATGCACAGTTTTTGTTTTCATAATGATGAAAGTAAAGTGTATAATAATATGTATAAAATATCAATTAAAATGTCATTGAAAATATATCAAGAACAAAAATATTATAGAAAACTGGCACATTAAATAATCGTGAACATCAAGAATAATCAAGAAAATGAATATTTTTAATAGATTCTTTTTTTATTTCAATGTTTTTATTATATTTGCAATACGCTATTAATCAAGTAAATATCAAAAATATACTTCGTATACTATCTGCATCTATAATAATTTTTCTTTCTTTGATATTGATCATCACATCGCAAGACTCTTATTCTTATCTTACTTAAAAACATCCTCATGCAATCATATTTATGATTTAGTATCATATTTATTTAAACTTTATTTTTTCTTCAATCATCTTCGATTCAACCGACGCTAATGTATCGTGTCATGTGAGATATAGCGTAAATCACAATCACATTTGCCTCCATATAAATGATTAATGACATACGGAATAAAATACGTTTCTTCTAAAATAGATTACATAAACGCATGCTCGAATTCCTTGATAGAGACTTGCGGTCAACCCTGCGGTTTTCGTACGTGCTCTATATCTAGTCTCGGTTTAGCTACTGGCACGTACACGAGCATACCAGCAAGATATTTCATTCTACACAAAAACCTTTGGATTTCGATTTGCGCGATTTGATGTGCACACCGTATACATACATATTCCTCTCACATTCCTTATCCTACGAAAAATAGAGAGATTTCTGAGCAAGTAAGAGAGTGATGAAAGATACGAAATGTTTGGCACGTCTCTAGACGTGCAAAATCTGTCCAAGATTAACCGGGAGCACATTGCGCTGCGATATGTAGACATCTCCGAGATATTCCATTAACATTCCCCGAGAGCGACCAAAATCATCCTTAAATGTCCCAGATGGCCCGATATGATAGCTGCAAAATACAACTGACACATTAGGATACGAGAAACTCGTGCTACGTTCGCGTGCAGGATTCAGCCTCGTATTTTGCAATAATTAAAAATTTATATGCGCAAAAAACAAATATAATTTTATAATGTTTAATTCATAAAATATTTATAAAAATTTCTACATTTAACATTTTATTTTATTTCAAAAAATATAATTATATAAACACATTTATGTTATCTTTCGCAAAACAAATAAAAGGATAAAGTGACGTTAACAAAATTGAATATTAGCGAAATATGATGGCTCATCTATTTTAATTATGCAAATAGATTATAAGCCTCGATTGACGAATGACTTATAATTCAATGTCGTTTGGCATCGACGAAGAGGCAGCTAAAGCATTAGAGTCGCATTAAGGGTTGCATTAGAATCGACGATAATAGTTCGGAATCGGCGGCAAGAGATCCTGTCTGCAACTCAAAGCCAGCAGACGTTCCCTTGACGAGCCCACTTCAGAAAGAGAAAGAGAGAGAGAGAGAGAGAGAGAGAGAGAGAGAGAGAGAGAGAGAACGAGAAAGAGAGAGAGAACGAGAAAGAGAGAGAGAAACAGAGGAGGAGAGAGAGAAAGCAGAGAACAGTGCGGCTGTTCGGAACATTCACGGAATCTGGAACACACACAGATGTGCGCTGTCTATTGATCTCTCTTTACGACCGCGCCATCGTAACTCGCCAGTCTATCGCAGGGATCCTTGACCAGAAGCCCGTATGAAAGTTACGGAAGGGACGACCGTACATTGCCACGTCGTCGGTCAGTCATACCCTTGGAATTCAGAAATTTTGGATAAATGCTTATTGAACTGGACGCGGATAACATTGTAAATTCCAAACTGATTGACATTCCATACTGACAGTCCTTGTGAGGGATGCGAAAATTGCATCTTGAAGTCACGATTATCAATACTTTCTCATCAGGCGACGAAAATCCGTCAGTCAATTGAAATTTATGAAAATTCCTTTTGCGGATTCAAATTTTAATTCTTCTGTTGCGAATATCGACTTTTACAGTATAACGCGCGCGACTGATATAATGATATGTATGCTTGTATATTTAAATATTGCAAGTATTCGCAGATTCAAATGAGTTAGTTTGGTGATCGCGTGTCAAATAATAAATCGTGATGAACGTTTTCAAAATTCACATGCGTGGAAATATAACCGATATCGATCTGTCCGTATGGGTCATGCTTTTGTCAACGATAAGCTCACTATTGACAACAATCGAGCCGTGTGAACTGTAAAAGCCATACACAAAATTCACGAGAAAATCCGTCATGGAGCTTTATATTTTTTATTTAAGTCTGTCTATGTATCATATGATCACTCACATAATCTCGAAGTTTATATCATTCAAAAATGTCGACGATTAATATAAACGCAAAGAGATACAATAATATAAAAATATGCAAATTTATTAAAATATATTAAACTTTTTTACAGTTTTATTTACAAAATATGTAAAGATAAAGCAAAATAAATTTTTGGTTCATTATAAAAATTAAAAAAATACATTTCTCTTTAAATCACTTGTTTATGATAATAAAGTGAAAACAATATACATACATACACATACACTCTCTCTTTTTAATATATACTATAAAATTATATTGTCTATCTTTAAATTAACTATGAGTCTAATCGATTAGACCGATCTATCTCTTTAATTTATTACGATAAAATAATTTAATCATGATGAATTTAAGAACATAATTAAGACAATGGTTTAATAAAACAAAACGATAAAATTATTTGCGAGATATGAAAGAAAACGGTTGAGGTAGAAAAACGGTACATCCACTTGAAGTCGATGATAATATTCACAACACGTCGGAGGAAGCGCTATAATGTGCTCTTAGCTCTGACAAAGCGAATGCTAATCAAGTAGTACTATTCTGCGGAGTTCTGTACGCATTAAAATTCATGGGAAATCGATATAACAATTAATCTTAGCACGCGTGGTGCATCGAATCGTCGTAGGTCGCTAATCGATACCCGATAGAAGCCGATCAAGATACGAGACTTAGTACAGATATCATGATACGTGTTTGTTCGTGCCTCGCGACAAGGGTTGCCTGATCGATTGCTTCATAAATTTTATTATTTTCCCACGTCCACGACAGATTGTTTCATTATTTTTAGATTCTTACGAGGATTTATTATTACGAGATTTATTATGAAAGAGTATTCTCGCACCCCTATAATAAGATTTCCCTCGATAGAACTTTTACGAAATTCGCTCAAAGACGAATCCTCCCGTAATCACTAGTCAATATACGTATTATAAGGAGACAAAGATCGCGAAGCGGTTAATTTTCCTCGAACACAGTATGGGAATATCCTCGGAATTCTTGGCGTATTCTCGGAATGCTGAAGACACGCGGGATATGCCTATTGATCTTTCCGCAGTGGATTTCCGAAGTAGTCGGTGATACGTGACTGCAGTCGGTACGCCGAACACGGCTGAACAGATCGCGTCGAGTCCTTAACACGATAATTCCGTTCCGCTTTCCGCTCGTCTGTTCAATGTGGCATTCGGAGTAGGAATACGACATCGTGTCTATTTCTTTATCTAAGATTGCCGCAAAGTCAAGAAAAGGCGAGACGATTGAAATTGATCGTCGAACACATGGGAAAAATCGAAACGATGGAAGTCAGTAAAAATATGAGAACAAAAAAGACATACTTATGTACTTTATATATACTGATAGCAACTTAATTTTTTTATCATTATCAAATTCGTGTGATATATTTTCCATTCGTTCATCGTTATCCTCCCCATCGAATGCACCCGATGACGATATGTCTTCGGAATCGCAGATGTGTACGCTAGAGAGAATGGTCAGTTTGCGTTGAAACTCGCGACTCTGCTCCGAGTGACCCTCAGCGACCACCAGTCAGCACGGATAGACGATCAGGCGGTGCTCGCAGGTCGCGTAAGAAGATGACAGGGCCGGCACTCCATTATCGTTCTGTAACTCCTTTTAATTATCTCGGCCATAAGTTATAACCGGATTCGCGCTTTTTCGCGTCCTTATCGGGCCGGAGCTGCGATTTTCTCCGGCGCCGACGAGAAGAAGAGGAAAAAAGGAGGATGAGATAGGAGTAGAAATGAGGAAGGAGTCGGCGAGAGGGAACAAGCGGAGGAGGAACAAGGCGCAGAAGAGGAATAAGAAGAACAAGAAGTGGAAGTAGAAGAAGAAGAAGAAAAAGGAAAGAGGGATGCGCGCGAGATAGGCGACAGGGTAAAAGGGTGGCGGCTCCCGCGGGGGTGGGGAAACGCTCTGATATACAACCGAGGGATATGGGAGGAACTCGCGCGCGCACAGGCGCGCGGACCACACGTACACACGTACGGCCACTCACACAAACGATCGGAGCAACACACAGGCGCAGTTCCACGGGCTGTACGGGGCGGCTGCGTGCTCGACGCCCGAGTGGCGCTCGCGCAATGTAGTCCCTCGGCTATCCTCGACGCGGGAGCATCGCCGTTTCGAAAGAGCCGCGACCTTCTCCCCGTTGCGTCGCGCGCGTCGCGTTCCCGTGGTTGGCGGTGTTAGGGGGTGAAGTTCGCGCGAGAGGGGCCCGCTCGCTATCCCGAGGACTTCTCATCCGCGAACTCTTTTTCGCGACGAACGAGTGCGCGAAATCGCATAGCGACGACATGAAACCGCAGCCTCGCAAATTCCGTCCTTGCGCTGCTCTCCGAAGTTGACGGAATCGGTTGACGTGCGATTATTCCGTTCTCTTCGGCTCCACTTGATTCGAACGACGGAGACTGGAAACGTACTCTGGAAGACAGGGAAAGAAGGCAGAAGAGAGTGCATGAGTGTCCGTGGGATTTCGTACGGTCCACGATTTCGCGATAGTGTGATATTGAAGCAAACACAGTGAAGCGGTAACTGAAAGCGGTGATAGTGTCGAGCGGATGATCAATCCACAGAATCGTCCAAAATTCGTGTGTGCCGTTCGATCGAAATTGATAAAATCAAAGTAGAGAACGAAAAGTATCTTCGACATTCTAAAATTCCAGAAAATTTACAAAATTTCAAACAATAAGTCTTTCATTACCACAAAGATATCACGATTCAATAACTGTCCAGCAATAAATCCATCACTGCCCACTTGGAAAATTATAACAAAGTTTGTTAAGAAGAAATCTTAAACCGGTATAAAGAAAAAAGAAGATAGATTATCGATCGGAAGCGCATGCAAATTTCATCGCCAATTCCGTCCCGCAGCGCTTCGCCTTGCTAAAAGCAAATTTTGCGTGAAGCAGCTTCAACTTCATGCTGAAAGGACCGCTTTGAACATTTAAAGACGGTCTCTCGAGGATCTACATTTAATTATCAGCAGAATCGGTGAGACTCGTGCAGAAGCGCTCTAAAGTCTCGGAAGGAGAAACAGACAACGAGAGAGGAAGGCGCAGTAGAAAAAACCACATCTAGCACGACTGAGAGTTGTACGACTGCAGCCAATGGGGAGGTGTTAAAGTTAAAAGCTGCTCGTAAAACTCTTCGTCTCGCGGGTGCTACAACGTTACCATTGTGCAAGCGAACCTTGTTTATCTCGGCATCGATGCAGAATTGAAAGACCAGTAAAAATCTACGGTGGATTCTTTCTTTCTCTTTCGTCGCGCCGACGAACGGAAACGTTTTATACGGCGTGAAACTGCAGTCGTGAAAACGAACGGATCGTATACACCGATCGTCAAGGTACGCCTATAAAAGAAATAAGGGAAAAGGAAGCAGAGTTTTCTCGAGTTTTTCATTTGCGGTCGCTATCGAAGCATCGTTCGAAGGCAATTCTCTGAGGGAAAGAGAGAAATTACGAGTTTAGAAAAATGCGGTGGTACCGCGTACTCGGGGAAAATAACCACGGTGGAATGATGGATGAAACGTCCGTCGCGTTGTGTAGATTGCATTAATAACGATCAGTCTAATGCATCGCGAGCGATCTTATGGGTGTCGATGTAGCGAGAAGCACGAAGACGCTGCCTAATGTCAGACAGAACAGTCCCTGTATCGATCAATATGGATCGCATAGGAGTAATCTGCATCGAAAAAGAGCGAGTGATAACAGTGATATGGGGATCATCTAAGGCCGCGTAAGGCCGATAACGCGATTAAAATAGAAATTGATGCGACTGGGACACCGCGATGTGAAAAACAAGCTGTTCCACGAAGATCACAGTCATTCAATAACAATTTCCGACAGAGACGTGCACGTGAAATAATATAACAAAATTGAAAAAAAATAAGATTAATTAGTTAAATTCCGATTTTCTGGTTCAACCGATATGTGGCTGTTAGCGCGAAATACGTGATTCGCGAAACCACGATCCGTTTCCGCATTACGCCATTATTAACAACGCTCCATAATTGGAAGAATGTGGTATCGTCGTGGAATCAATCTGTGCCAGTGAGCGAATTATTAAGCAGTGGTCGTTATTCGACTTAACGAGATTTTATCGACGAGGGAGAACTAATTAAAAAGCTCTGCTTAAAGTATAATAAGGCGAAATTACGTGATATCTATTCGCGCACGAGTGGCTGTGCATGTATCTTCGGTGATACGAAGTGATTCTATCTGTTCCGGGAATGCCACAGTCATCACGAAACGCGAAATGTGCCAGTGATATTATCATCTATCGCTGATTAACGTTTCCCGAATACGACTGAAATGCGTCTGAGATAGTATAGTAGTCAGTATGTGAATAAACCACGCCACGGGGAAAAGCGATGTCTACTTCTCTTCCCATATTTGTCTGTTTTATAATTTGTTTTGGTAAGTGCACTATACTTCATGTTGAGATTATAAACAATTAAAAATCGAAGCAATTACAAGTTATTACAAAAAACCTACTTTAGAAGTTTACAAATTTATGTATAATAAAATATAGTTTTACACTGTACATGATTGCTTCGATTCGTGCATTTAACATCTGTATCAAATCTGTATTTGTGTATTTCAATTAAAAGCAAACATTAAGAGTACTAGAGATTGATTAACTGTACCATAAATAAATAAATAAATAATAATATATATACAAATATATATAAATATATATATATATACATACATACATATATAAACTCGTACGTAATCTCATGGTTAAAATATATATATATATATATATATATATATATATATATATATATATATTAACCATACGTTTACGTACGAGTTTAAATGAGTATTTAAATGTATCAGGAAAATCGAGATTTACAATATTACTACATCAAACAGATCACGATTCTCTCGATCGCTATCGATGGGCTAATATCCGATGCATTCGCATTAATTGCACATGCAATTATTGAGGCACTTAATAACGGCAGTATATTACGTGGCTTTAGCGCCTGTACGTTGTTACGTTCAAGTCTCATGCACGTACGTCCCTATTAATGTTTCGTGACTTAATGCAGTCAAGTCATCTATGCAAAAGCAAGGGTTTGTTGACTGCGATGTGTCTACAACAATCTGCATACACATATATGCACATATATAATAATATACTTTGCTTTTAACCCGAATTTTAATGAAAAATTTAGCAAGAGATTATAATGTTGTATCTCCAGGAAATATATATCTTGAAATAAACAGTTATCAAATATTATTTGCATTTATCTAAAAACATTACGAAACTTGCTGAATATTTATAAAATTGAGAAATGAAACATAAAACTATCGTGCAATATGCAATTTTAATTTTAATGAGTTATACATATTATAATCAGTTTCAACAAAATATAAACAGAATTTTATGTCGAGATAATAACAAACTTTATACTTGGGATGGCAAGGGCTGAATTAATTTGCATAATAAAATATATAATTGTAGAGAGAAAAGAACAGACAATTGTTGCAGATCTTGGCGTGCATCCTTTGTTCGATATAAATATTAACATTATAATAAATCATAAAGATGCTCGTAATTGTTGCAAATTGTTTTTATGCAAAAAAAGATTTATTTTACATATTTTTTATTATTTCATATGTATATATATATATATATATATATATATATATATATATTGTATATATATATAAATAGATAGTTTTATGTTTCATTTCTCAATTTTGTAAATATTCAGCAAGTTTCGTAATGTTTTTAGATAAATGTAAACAATATTTGATAACTATTTATTTCAAGATATATATTTCCCGGAGATACAGCATTATAATCTCTTGCTAAATTTTTCATTAAAATTCGAATTAAAAGCAACGTATATTATTATATATGTGCATATATGTGTATGCAGATGGGTGTAGACACATTGCAGTCAACAAACCCTTGCTTTTGCATAGATGACTATATATATATATATATATATATATATATATATATATATATATATATATATATTTTTTTTTTTTTTAATCTATATAATATTTTTTACTTTTATACCATTTTAATTTTACCATTTCTCTTTAAATGTTTTATGAGTTTCTTTGTGATATCATTCACATGTCTTTCTTTTGAAGAATTTGTATAATATTCTTTATTTTAACATTCCATATCGCTTTGAGCACACGTGTCCGCACGTTTTACTAGAAATAGGAGGGTTGAGAATTCTCTCGGAAATACGCCAATACTTGGCACTTGGCGCAAACGACGTAGATATCTCAAACTTTCTCGTAGAAATACAAGAGGCATGATTTCACAAAGTTCACGATCAGTACGCTAACGATAAAAAAGTACTTTTAAAAAAGGAACGGATTCTGCAAACCATTCATTCGAGAACTATAATCAGATATCCTCGAAGTGGTCATGCAAAAACGTATAAATGCAAAGCTGATAAAAATTTGAATCAAATTCTTATTATAGTCGAAATAGCGTACGCATACGATTGTTCATTATCCAAGTTATTTTCAGTTTTATGAGATTTGCTTTTGTCGATATTTTGTGACAAAGCAAATCTAATTTTCATCTCATTCAAATACGCGTAATGAACATCTTGTTAGGATTATATGTAAAATGAAAATGCCGACTTGACAGTGATAATGGATTACTTGAATCGATTTGCAAGTAGTCACAGTTTTGATAATGTCGGGCATATATATATGCATTTATATATTAAGTGTCGTTAACGCTTGAATGATAATACAAAGTAACACTTAAATTATACCAAAACACATTTAAAACGTTACTCTATGCATATTAGTGCTATGAAAAATTTAAAAAACACAGAAACCTCATAGTAGCGATTATGAATCGATTCAAAAGATCGTCGAGATAAGACTTGCATTGAGATTTATCGAATCGTAAGACTTGCATTGAGATTTATCGAATTTAAGCACTAGATTCATCGGTAAAGTTTCGAGGAGACAGAATTATAGAATTACACGCGGATTAACGTAGATGTAATTTCAGTCCCTATTCGCCGCTGAATTCATGCTCGAGTTTCTTGAACGTCTCTTGAACGAAATCAACATTGTTGAGAAAATTCATGGCAAATTCTCCCATATGTCGCAAACATATTCGCATTCGCGACAACTGTCACAGCTCAATTAAAAGAAGAAAAATACATGACACAGCATAACCCCATTTAATGCCATCGCACTCTATGCACTTTCTATCATGAGACGTGATTTTTTCCTCGGTCATTCATCTGTTTTCACACGTGATGGAGTAATTAAAAACAACAACGACGATGAATCGCGTATCGCGGCGTAGTTTGCCGTTAAAATTCAAATTTCAGTTAACTACTGTAGCACCAAGCCGAAAGATGCAGTTTTAATTTAACCACGCCGGAATATAGTGCAATTTATATTACCGCGTTGAAAAAAAAGAGAATAATATATAGCGTGACGAGAAACACACGTTTTTAATTTTCTTAAAAACGAAGCGACAAGCTAAATTAATATAAAAGGGCGTCGACAAAATAATTAAATAAATTCACAAATAATATCAGTTTAATTTTAGAATACATTTGTTGTTTTCTCAATTATCTCTCATTAAAAACAGATTACTTGACTTACTATTAATTGATTCGCTCTTTGACCTTTGACGATCTTGCTAAAGAAACGTCGCGCCCACGCGCTTCCGTTCATCACCCTTCAGACATTTATTTTTAACAATTCATTAACAGCACTCGCAGCACTCTTTGATTCACGATTCGTGTCAACACGCGTCGTTATTAACTCTATAAGAAAGAAGAGGTATCACACGACGCAGACATATCGGCTATGTTAAAACTTAACGAACCGGAAGGTCGCTGTAACCGCGGATTATCGCGACGACGAAGACGATGTTTGTAGATATTTCTCGACATATGTTCGTTCTCATTCGCGTAGAAACGACGTCACATAAATTCTACGTGTCAGTGTACGTGATGCGTTTATGCAGCCGTTGACCTCGTAGAATTTACAGCGGACTTTTATGGAGTCGAGATTTTACACGCTTTTCCCATATTACTCTAATCCAGTACTACTTTGTTAATGGAATTAGCTGATATAATGAAATGACACCGAAATACGAGTATATATTTGTCAATAATTATCTCAACTGTTTAACAGAAATAGTAACAATGTGTGGGTATGATATTGTGTTCATATTATTTGCAAAGCTGCTCGCAAGATAAACAAAAGGATGAACGAAAGATTTAAACAGAAAAGAATTATGAAAAATGAGGAAGAAAGTAGAATGAGATTTGTTTATCTACTCTTGATTCATTGATTTAAAATTAGCGGCGACACTGACAGCTGCCGGATGACAAATTTCTAGCGAGCTCACATAAGTGAACGCTACTTTTATCTTCATATTTCTACGTTATGAGATATATTATAGCCCGGAGTAAAAGCGACATGAAGAGTTCTCACGATAGTTATTTATGCCCCATCTTCTTTCTATCTCGGGACTCCCGGATATGCAGCTTGCGCTCGATGGAAGACGGAAAGTCTACTAACTTCCAGGCGAGCAAAAGTAGTACATCAAATAAATGAATAAACAGGTAGATAGATATATAAACTGGAAACTTGGCTATATGTAAATAGAAAAATGTATAGATATACGAATAATTCGTTAAAGCTCGAAGATTCGGTTCAGGAAAATCGAAATAAAGAAACTAACTAAAACGCTATAGATCTATATAATTAATTTCGAAGGAAAGAATGCGCGTCTTAGTGAGAAATATTCATCAAAAACACAATTAAATTGAGAAATATGAAATTACTCGACTATTTATAAAACTTCTCTTACAATTGCGGACTGTTTAGCGAATATTTTCTAATTGTTTGGCAAAAGTTTGTTAGAATATGATTGTGCTTTGAGATTTGCGAAATTAAATAAAGTTAACGATGATTGTTAACTTTATGATATGACATTGCATTCTCTCGTTGCAGTGCAATTTACAATGCGGAAAAGTTTTCATTATTTTACATTATGTTTACATTATTGAATTGCGTTTCCATGCAAATATTTGATATTTTTTGATGCTATAATTAAAAGTAAAATAAATAATTTATTTAATAACAAAATAAATAATAATTAATGTTTTATATATATTTTTTTAGAATAAAACATACATTTATAATTATCTTAATATAATAATTATTAATAATAATTAACAATCGTCATCAATAATACGATAAATCTATGGCAAATCTTTAAATAAATCAGCTAGATGTTACGAATCAACAAATAAGCTCCGATCTTTTTATTTATATTGCCATCCAGTTTTCAAATATTTCTGATTAATGTTAGAGACATATTCAATATGAAGGTTCTTGCAATTGTAACGATTTTCGTGTTCTTTCCCTTCTTTGTTCACCTAAATGCGACT